ACGTCCCCGTTCCTCTCTTGATGATATGAGTCTTGCAGCTCCGGGCCCTCCGGCTACATTACACAGTCTGTTGTCTCTTTAGTCTTGAGAGGTGGCCGGGGAGCCCACAGTAATTGGAGGGATTATTGTAATTAGTCTGCCAGGCTTGTCTGATTCATTAAGAGTTTAAAGGCTAAAGACAGCTTAGAACGACACACTCTGTAGCCCTGCATGCAAAACCAATTGATGTTTGATAATGTTCCCTTGATGTCCCCATAGACAGCTACTGACCTAAACATGCATTGATGAGGATGGGAATATTCATAAAGAACATGAAGAGTTCATCTAAGGGGATGCTTCTTCTAAAATGAGCACTTTTTTCTCAGGCTCCTGTGAGTAGGTTTAGTAATTTCACTTTTTATGGCAAAGAATATGTTCTTTTCATTGCCTTTAAAGTTAAATAACTGAAGAGATTTCAGACGGCACTTGAAGGTTTTGCATCTGAACTCTTCATAAAAGTCTGATGGGTTTTATTTAAATGTGTGTTATACAGTATTTACATTGAATGTTTCCCTCGAGATTAATCCACGACCTTGATGTTACTAATGCTGGAGTGTTTTTCCTCAAGGACTTATTTATTAAAGACCAAAAAAAGTCAGATAAATGTATATGAAAGTGCAAAAAGGGTGCAAAATGACCTTTTCGGTAAAGGTTATGCAAGTTCTGATCAATACCTTGTGTACAAGGATTGTGTACAAACGCACCCTTGTTCTCAGACTCTTTGTTTATAATGTGTAATGGGTAGGCAGGTGCTTTTTTCAGTATGTGGGTGAAAGTGAGAAAGCTTGAGAAGAAAAAATAAAAAGCTCTGGAAATCACAACAAGCCTAAAATATAATGAAATAAAATGTAATAAAATAAAATATAAAATTAAATTAAATATCAAATTAAATAAAGATTGAATAAATAAATAAAATGTTAAATTAAATTTAAATAAAAAATAAAATAAAATATACCATTTAAACAAAATTAAATAAAAACATTTAAACTAAATTAAATAACATTTATTTTATTAAGTTTAAAAATAAAATGTAAATTTACTTAAATATTTCTAAGTATTAATATCAAAATTTAATATCAATAAATACAATCTTTTTGAAATATACTGCAATGTATAATTTAATAGCACACAATAAAAAGCCCTCTAAATAAATAAATAAATAATGTTATTAGCATACAGTGGCATTTGTAACAATTGTATTTTTAAGGTCTAAACTATGAGATAATTAAACAAATATCATCTCATCCATATCTAAATATCTAAATACAAGTAAATATGTATAAAAATACATATAAAAATATAAAAAAATAAAAAGAAATAAAATATAAAAACTTTCATACTTTTGATTTTTTTTTCTTTTATCATATACCAGTAAATACTTTTGTCTTTGCAGTAACACTTTAAAGGCCCGTTCTTACTATAAAGGATGATTATATTGGGTGACTATTGTTACTTACATATTTTGCATGTTCTTAATTCTACATCCCCAAATCATACCCAACACCTAAAAACCTAAAAAGATACCCAAATAACTATAAATACGCACTAAAGGTGATTGCTTCTCGAGCAAGACACAGCATGATAAAGTGAGCGCTTTAAATGTTCTGTCACTTTTTATATAACCCTCTGACAAACACATTCATTTAAACATTATCTGCTCACCAAGCCTTATCTTCACCATCTCAGACATATTAAGCACCACATCTTTCCTAAGTCTTACCTCTGCGTTTCAGTGTACGCAGCACATTTTGCCCTTATCAAAGTGCAACCGAGGAGACTTGAAAAATAAGCTAGGGACATAAAAAAGAGAGACAAGGGGAGGGGGGTGAAAAAAAGCCCACTGAAAGCAGAGTGCAGCTCATGGTCCATGTGTGCCAGTTTGCAAGAAATAACCTTCAACCAAACTCGATAAGCGAGACGCGCAGAGGAGCAGGAGGCTGCGAGGCATCAGTCAGTGACAGGACAAAGGCCCTGGAGGACTATAAATAGCCCAGCAGAGGTGTCTGCATTCAGGGCAGCTGGGTATCGACAGCAAGACCAGGCGCCACAGGCGACAAGAACGGCTCCAAAAAAAAAAAAAAGAAAAAAAAAAACACAGCCCAAACTGACTCTTATTAAGCCTTGGAAAACCGTTCCTGAAACTGGAAGGAGGCTATGACTTTGGGTTTAGGACAACAGAAGGGTAAAGCTGTCAGGCAGATCATGCTAGGATGACTTTGACTGAACAATACGAACGCAAGTGAACTAAGAACAGAAATAAAATTGCTGAGTTGATGTTAGTACATTGCACATTTGTGGACTGTGGTGGCTGAGAGCATGTTTTTATTAGTCGCGACCCAAAGTGAGCAGTTCGGCTTGGGTCACAGAGTAGAGGAAAATGAAAGAAATGAAATGGGAGCTGAAAATAAATATTAGGGCACCTATTGTATGCCTTTTTCAAGATTTAAGATAAGTCTTTTGTGTCTCCAGAATGTGTCTGTAAAGTTCCAGCTCAAAATACCCATCAGATAAATTATTATAGCTTTTAGAACATTGTAATTTTTTGCTTTAAACACAAATGTAGCTGGTTTTGTGGCTAGTCCTCCCTGCCCACCGTTCCTTGAGTGTGTGACTCAATCTCTGCCTCGGCTGCGTCAGATCAGCACAATGACAGACATGAAGGAAGTAGATTTCACGTAACGTTTGTAATAAATACTACAGTAAGAACTTTCCCAATGAGTATTTGATGTTTTTGTATCTTTTGTTTCTCCCTTTCTAAATAACAAGATTATAAACTAAAAATTTATAACTAAGAAAATCTGAACTGAACACCGAAACGTAAACCTGATATTGTACGAAAAATGTTAGAATTCCAAATTAATGTGGCCTCTTTGACCTTAAAATTGGGTTTTCAATTCTATGAAAAAATTAATTGTTTTGAGAGGTAAACGTGAAATTGTGGGATTTCTATACAAATATTTATATTGTAAAACAAAAAAATCCGATATAAAGTTATTCTGCCTTTTTTTTTCTGAATTGAATTGACACTAAGGCTGCATTTACACTGCACATATTGATGGTCAAATCCAATTTTGTGAGTATTTCTGATTTTTTTGATGACCTGTTTACATCATCTTTTAAACGTGACTCGTTTCCCATTGTCTGCATTTACACTGGACACAGCAAAGACACAATGACTAGGAAAAAAAGAGCGATTTAATTTGTTCTCAGGGTTTAACTTTTTTATTCTTTTTGACAAGCTGGTTAATTATAGCTTAAGGCAGAAAAGTTCTCATTTGGTGATCTTCTTGTAATCTGGGCTTTTTTAAAGCAGTAGGCATCTTAATGTAATTTCCAGGTTATGATTTATGCATGTGATGTATGCAACAGTTTTAGATTATATCGTTTACGTGGCGGACGTTGCGCTCTATCTATTCCTCCCTCATGCTATAACATGCTTAAATACTTGTACTATACATGACAATATAAAAGCTTTTTTTGTTCTAGTATATGAGATTTGAGGTTTGGGAATTTGCTGAAGTCTGTTCTGAAATGAAAGCGTCAAGAGTTGACATCATTTGCTACAGTTTTTATTAAAGCGCGGCTCACATTGTCAGGTGAAAATCCGATCTACCTGCTTACACTGCAGACACGAGGGCAAAGATCTGGATAAATTTCTACATATGAACATAGCCTGAATATGATTTGAGAAAATTGGGACCCATGTGATATTTTCCTATCATGAGCTATATGCTATCTATGCCACATGGGAGAAAAAAAACTAATCGGAATTGAGTCAGCTGAACCATGCAGTGTAAATGCAGCCTAAATGGGGTCACATTTTTGAAAAAAGAAATGTCCGAATTGTCAGATTGCAAGTAAGGAGTTAGCGAAAATTTCATTGATATGTGAAAATTCTACATTCTTTCTCTGAACAGCAAGTTTACAATTTCAAGATAACTCTTAGTTATTTTGTACTTGTCTTAACTACAATATATATATATATATATATATATATATATATATATATATATATATATATATATATATATATATATATATATATATATAAATGTATATATATAAAGGTAAACCAATTATCTAAGTCAATTGGGTTTTTTCAGAATTTTGAGTTTATACAGTTTGAATATACAGTAAGTGAAGCTGTAATTCCGATATAGAGGGGGTTCAGAACTGCAAGATATAAATTGCGAGACAGACAGACAGACAGACAGACAGACAGACAGACAGACAGACAGACAGACAGACAGACAGACAGACAGGCAGGCAGACAGACAGGCAGACAAATGCTAAATCTGGATCCAGCCAGTTGAGAGCATTTTTTCAAGCTTATAGTTGAAACAGAAAAGCTCTACACGGTGCACTATAATGTTACATCACGACTTTTTACAGAACAACTGCTACCTGCCACCTGCGTGACAACTTCTTTTGTATGCTTGAAAAGAGACGGAAGCAGCCGCAAAATGAGTCCATACATCTGAATTTGAGCTCCTCAGAGAACGCCATCTTCCACATAAATCACTTCTGATTTCATGCTGCGAGTTCTGTCATTAGCTGCTCGCGATTTACATAAAACAAAAGAATATCTCTCCAGTTAATTTCAGAAGGGTGGAAAATGCATACTGATGGAAATTATGGAAAGAAGTGAAAAAGTTAGGCTATGATGTTCACAAAGTTCGGTTTGATTCGACGGTGAACATAGAGGGGTTTTATTCCCCTTACACACAGAATCCTTTTTATCCTTTTTATTTTTCAAAACAATGCACCAACAAAAACCCAAGCAGTATAGCAAAAATCATAAATGGCTGGACTAAAGCAAGTAAAATGCCGTTTTATCTACACTCTGCGTGTTCAATGCTGGTTTGAGATACTGAATAAATAAGTGAAGAAAATTCACTTATATATTTATGAAATTAAATAAGTGAAAAAAATCACTTATTTAATTGAAATTATGCACTTGCCGGAATCATCCAGTTGGCCAAATCTCCATACTTGGATACTTGCATGGCTCCTAACATGGTCAAGTTGATATGACCCCTAGAGGAAAAAAAAACAATAAATAAAGACTTAGTTACCATCTCACAATGGTAAGTTTATATTTCACAATTCTCGCAATTTTGCCTTTTTTTTCTCTTGATTTTGACCATTTCTTCCTCAGAACTACAAGTTTAGAACTCACAATTGTGGATTTATATAGCAATTTTGACTTTAAATTTCACTATTTGACTTCATATTTTGCAAAATGTATATATTTATTTTTGTTCAATTATATTTTTCAAAACAAATTGTTCTGAAAAGTGCAAGTTTAGCTCACACACTGGCGTTTACATTTTTTTATTTACTTTATTTGCCCCTCAAATTTGAACAAAAACATTATCGCTGTTTTACATTTTTGAGTTGAATCAAATTAACTTTTCAAGTCATCTCACCTTACATCAATCAAACTGATAATCAATGTTTGGTAGGTAACTTTAAGTAATAGATTACAAATTACTGATTACTACTGGAATTTTTTTTAATTGGATTACATTACTAATTACTTCATGTAAAAGTAATCAGATTACTAATCACTACACTTTGAAGTTACTTTTAAAACACATAAAATATACCTGTAAAAACCTATAAAAATTCAAAATAGACTGCAGCTCTTTCAGTAGTTTAATATTCACTGGAAAACCTTACAATGGGTTGATCACAACAGCTTGACTTAATACTTAAAAAGTTGGCCCAAAACTTTAAATTCTCTTATCCTTTACTTTTTTCAGTCCTTCTTTATTAAAAAAAAAAAAAAAAAAAAAAAAGAAGACATTTAGAAGAAAACTGGACTCCTGTAACCATTGACATCTATAGTATGAAAAAGCACTGCAATTTGTGGGTGTTCTGCGTTTGTCTGAAGTAGTCTACTTAAATGTGTAAATTCCAAAGTATGAAGCTGATCGGTCAGTTCTTGTCATGTGACTCTTAGTTTTCAGATGTGACTGGAAAATGCGAGCGTGCGTGATATGCACTCCCAATATGTGCACGCACACAACAGATGCATAAGTGAAGGGCCATAAGTGAAATATTATGCTTCTCTTAGTATTTAGAAGATACCTTCACTCCCGATCCTGCACAAAAATTTAATTTAGCCTGTTTAGGGTGACTGCCATGTTTTTGGGTACTGGTGTCCTCCGTGGTGACGAGAATTATCGTAGAATGCTTTCTGTTCAAGTGCTTCAACAGGTTGCTGGTCAAGTTAAAAGCAGTTGAAAGTTCTTTTAAGACATAGACAGCATTTCACAGAAATATATATTTTTTAAACTAAATGAAATCAAAGTAATGTCTGTATTTCCACATGAAGAAGCAACCACTCTCGACAGCAACCATTTCAGCTCACGTTCTCCAGCAATTTAAAAGGGCATGCTTATTAACTGACATTGCAGCAGGAAACATGATTTAAAAGAAGCACTTTTTTCTTCCAAAAAAGATATTTGTAACGCAAGTAATGTAATAACATTTACTTTTGTAACAGTAATGAAATAACACAAATTTAAAATTTTGTTTTAAAATTTGTTTCATTACTGTGTTTCTCAAAAATGTAATTACAATACAGTAGCACGTTACACCTAACTCTGCTGATAATATTAATTAAAATAAAAAATTAAGTTTAACTTCATAATTTTATAAAAAAGCAATACAAAAAAAATTATAAAGTTAAACTTTTCATAACTTAAAACAAATTGTTGAAACCTGATTAACTTAAATAAGTAAAAGCAACATACGGTTTAAACATTTGCCATTATGACTTTTGTGACATTTAATTTTTTATAGTGAAATTTATACTTTTAATTCTGGATTATTTCAGCACTGCAGACATTTCATCTCACAATTCTGAGTTTAAATCTCTCAAATCACCCCCCTCCCTCCAGAAATTCTGTTTGTTTGTTTTTTTTTTACAAATCATATTCTTTTTCATCTCACAATTGTTAGTTTATATCTCTCAGTTCTGACCTCTTTCTCAGTAATTTAAGAAGTAAAAATGATGTCATTATCTTACCTATTTTATTATTAATATTATTTTTATTATTATTATTATTATTATTATGTGACAGAAGCAGGTTTTCATAGTAAAAATACACATAAAATGACACATAACCTAACAATTTAACCACTTAACCAAGTCTTATATTTAACCTCAACAATTAATGTGTTATAATTAAATGCAGACTAACTGAACTTGTGTTTAATATTGTAATTCTGTCTGTAAACAAACAGAAATTGACAAAAAAGACACTATTTTTATGAGATCATGTTGTTTAGTTTTGGATTTGTCAAATCCAAATGATCATCCAAAAAAGAAGAAAAAGAACTCCCTGTTTCCTTACAAGACATAAAAAATAATTTTAGTTGTAAGGTCCTGGGTGCAGACAAGTAGAGCTTATTGACTTGAAATAGTGCAGCACAAAATCGCTGAATTGTGAGACAGTCTTATTCATGAATCTACAGGCAGACTGTAAGTGGGTGGAAAGCCTCTATTCTTAATGTATGTGCTGTCATGACTCCCCTTGAGCCGGTACAGCAAAGACCCCATGACCATTCGCTGCGCTCCCTATTGCACCAGACAATTAAGTCCTAAATATACGACCGCAGACGCTGAACACAAAAATAATGCTGGGGCCTGTGGGAAGAAGGCGTCAGCGGCCTGTGGAAAATCGATAGGGCTCATAAAACATTGATGGGGAGTTTTCTAGACAACATGCGACTAATGCCTAACTTACAGCTATGCAAATAACAGTAACATCAAAGACAAATTTAAATGTCTGACTGTATTCAAAACAAATTGCTGGAATGAATGAACATGTAAACAATGCATATTATACTTTATTATCACACGGCTATCGGGAATACCTGATTCTGAATGGTCAGTCCCCACATTCCAAGATATGTTATTACTATATAACAAGCAATAAAAACTAACAACACAGGCTCAACCAGGTACTTTGAATCTTGTCTGTCACACTGTTGTTTTTGAGTGTTTGGTGCCATCTTGTGATTAAATAATACGTAGGTTAGTGTGTGCTCCATTCAGTAGATTTCGTTTCTGTCAGGTTTGTCATTAATTAAAGAATTAATAAACTCAGAACAGCCAGAACAATTTATGTTTTCTGGCAAGTAGCTGTTTAATAATCTGGATAAAGTATGTCAAGATTGCCAGGCATTTTTATGTGCAGAATAAATCACTTCAGTCATAAGGGAGCACAAATTTTATTGAGCGTCACCTGCGCACCACACCGGTCTCAAGTCTCACAAAGGTGCTTTAGGATGAGTGACGAGAAAGACGAAAGAAGACTAGGCCTGGGAGACGTTAAGTTTAGTTTTGATTGCATCTACTTGCCAACTAATTCTCATTAGATTATAAGTAGACTGTTAGGTTGGCGTTAGTGTAAGTTGATATGTGTTTGCAAAGTTTCTTATAGTCAGTTAAATGTCTATTTAGCAGCAGTATCAACTAGGGGTGGGAAGATTAATCGATATGTATCGATACGCGGTCATGCGCGTGCACGATGCGAGTGCACCGGTTGAGCAGCAGAGGATGAATGAAATTTTGGAAGCAAATCGAGATGCATCGGTTTTTGCGAGATGCATCGTTTTTTCCAAGATACAGCTTATATTTTTAATATAGAATGTATTTTTTATTTATTAACAAGTGTTGTCAACCTGTTTTTGGCGCATAATTTAATCGACCTCCATAAAGTAAGCCTTAGCAACGGATTTGCGGATGTGTACACTTACACTACAACTCAGTGTATCAGGTGTGCTGAAGAAGCTAGTGGTGCGCCCTCAGAAAGCGCGAGAAGCAAAACAAACATTTTATTCCCCACTGAGTTTTAAATCTAAAGTATGGCAAGCAACATTATGGATTTAAGGATGGACGGCATGACAGGACAGATGCAATTTGCAAAATGTGCCGCGCTGTAAAATACGCAGGCAGTACGACTAATCTGAAATCTCACTTGAAGCGGCGCCACGGTGTTGTTGTGAAAGCATCTTTCAGTGTTCCTGCATCTCCGGCTTTTGTACTGCTCCAACTGTAGCTACCAGCTCCAAAAGTGGTGAGAAAAGCATTGCAAGTTTTTTTTCCATGCGCAACAGTTTCGTGCGCTCTAAGCCAGTAACGGATGTTATTGCATTGTTCATCTGCAAAGATATTCAGCCTAGTGTCACGGAGAACGAAGGTTTTAAACACCTCCTCCTGTTAATTTTTATTTAATTATAATAATAATAATAATAATAATAATAATGACAAAAATAATGGGTGTCACGGTGACACAGTGGGTAGTTTGACCACCTCACAGCAAGAAGATTGCTGGTTTGTTATATTTTTATTAGCCTGTTGTTTACAGTGACAGTGATGTTTCAAAGCAGCATAACACTGCTAGTTCACGACCTTAAGTTTTGAATATTCAGTGGCAAAATATATCTTTGTAAAACTTGTTTTCATAGTTGAAAAGTTAAATCACAATTCTTGTTGTGCAATGCTAAACCTTTATGTTGAAAGAGTGCAAATATATATATATTTTAATATATATTGCACTTATACATTCTGTTTATCTTGAAAATACTTAAATATTATGTGCTATATGTTCTAAAATGGCCCTCTACTGTAAACTGACACTCTGGCTCTGAGAGAAAAGCCAGTTTGTAAAAAAAGTCTTGGTTTTGCTTGGTTAATAAATAATCAAACTCATTCAATGGCACAGCATCCTCTTTCACATAATCTTATAAACTTGATCTAATTAGTTAGTGCTGATTTATCGCATTGTATCGTGATATGGGTGTGAATCGTATCGTGTTGCATCGCAATATGTCACAAATGTATCGCTAATATATCGGATCGTATTCTTTGTATCGAGATGCGTATCGGATCGGCATTATAGCTTAGATGCCCAACCCTAGTATCAACAGATATTGAGCAGACAGTCTACTAATACTCAAATGTACCACCAAGATAAAGTGTTACCTTGGTTTAGCTGGCAGTTGTCCATGAGGGACTGCTG